TACATGTGGGAACGATTTGATAATTCTATTTTTTAAATGATATAAATTTTGTGCATTATGAGTTATAATATGAACGAAATATAATACTGTTAAGTGAATCTAGCGTCAGAGTGTCGCTATGGTAAACAAAAACTTAATGAATTTTAAAGAATGAATTTATTCTATTGTGGTTTATGCGTTGTCGGCGAAGTAGATTTAATTCAATCCAATAAGTTTAAATGAACTGGGAAAAAAAAAAAAAAAAAAATGCGTATCATTTAATATTCCGTACAAGGAATTCATGTGGTGTACGCATCAGATTTTTTTATTTCGACCTTAGATAATTTAATTGTAAGTGTTTGATCTTTACGTTAATCACAAGCAAAATTACTCTGATTTTGAACCGGAAATTCTTAGTCCTGTTGATTTGGCTTCTCTGCGGTGAATGGATATTTTATAAGCTCTATCCGGAGTTCAACTTTTCCCGAGATTTCCGGATAGTCGAGCTGTTACTGTACATATACGCATTTTCTGCTGTAAATTATGATGTATCAATTGAACTTTTGCTTAATATAGATTTCATTTCTATAATTCTTGTAAACATCTTCTATTAATTACTCCTATAATCATATTAAGTTTATTAAGCTGGAAATCTATTACAATTACTAGACCAAAAGGGCTATTAGTCACGAAACAGCATTTTGCGTCATTATATGTATCACCTTTCGGCTGTATTACCTTTCAAACTGCTGCAACCATCTATATTTAAAGTACACTTGTACATATTAGCGCCCTGTATTACAATAAAAGAATTTAGATAATGAAGATTCTGCATGAATGTATGAGTTTCCCGCACTGGGAGAAAACCACGATACCTACAGCCACCAAATTTTGAATAACGTAGTCTTCCATTCGAATATGGGTACCTGGAAGCTTGAATCTTGAATTTGCTTTATTATCTATTTCATATTCTGTAAAACTGTAACGATTTTTTTATTAATAAACTCAACGATTTCAAAGAGAGCAATAGCAGTACTGTACGAAAAAAAAAAAAAAAAAAGATTATCTCCAGCGCGTGAGATTGTCTGTCGGAAATTCTGAAGGTATGCTGTTTTCAAATATTTTGTGATACTGCTTCTGAATTGCATTTTATCAGGTTCAAGTGCGAAGAACGTATTTTATGAATAAAGGTAACATACAAAGCGTTAAAAAAAACTTCGGGCGTTTTTTTTTTATCTGAAGGCTTTTATACTTTTTGTCCTTGTTCTATTATTAATTCAGAATTATTCTGAATTTTAAACGCTGCATTGTAATTACGCGCATTATTTGTATTGTTAAATAAACGAATTCTTACACTCACTGTTCTTTTCAAGTTTCTAAATGCCTATAGTTATTTTAAACTCGAGGTAAGCATTGATAATGGTTTTGTTTTCATGTGAGATTTAATTCATTTGTAAAATAAAATTCTTCCAAGTAGAAAGTTTCTCAAACACTATACAGTAATTTATTTCTTTTTCTGTTTATACATTAATACGTCATAATCTTTTATAACATATATTCTATGACTATAGTGCATAAAAGGCTTCATAGTCATCTTCTCAACGAATCACATGACTAGAACATACATCGATAAAATATTCTAGTTAAATATCTTACATACTTAATAACAATAATACAAAAATACATATGTATAATTGCAATCTTACTTGTGAAAAAGGGGTACTTTTTTTACATTATACAGCAAATGATAATGCCTAAAAATAGAATTTTTTACTTGTAATTTAGCATTCTCAATTAATAACTTTTAATTTAATTAAAATGAGAATATAAATGCATTAATAGTTTTACATTTTATGACAAAATAATACTGAACTTTGGTGATATGCAGAAACTGTTTAAGATCAGTACTTAAATCAAAGTTATTCATATTGTCTAGGCCATTTGCCTTACATTTATACATAAGTTGAAAAAAAAATCATGTACATTTAACAGACTATCTGTACACAAATATTCAACTATCTTATCTTCAGCTGATGAAAAGGTGAGAATTTTAATTTAATTAAAATCAGAATATAAATGTATTAATTGTTTTACATTTTATGACAAAATAATACTGAACTTTAGTGATAGGCTGAAACTGTTTAAGATCAGTACTTATAAATCAAAGTTATTCATATTGTCTAGGCCATTTGCTTTACATTTATACATAAGCTGAAAAAAATCATGTACGTGGTGGTGTGGTGTGGTGTATTTAATTATGGCTAAGCACACTAGGGCTATCTGTCTAAGAGGAGGGATGCCTTTCGTGGAGGACTTTCTAAGGGAAACTGGCTCGTATACACGTTACACATGGGGAAAACCACGAAAACACCCATGCAGCCAGCCCGTTCGCGGGATTCGAAACTCGGACCGAACTACCAGTGTTCAGCGACTTTACGCTCGGCCGCTGGTGGGCCTAAAAAAAAAATCATGTACATTTAACAGACTATCTGTACACAAATATTCGACTATCTTATCTTCAGCTGATGAAAAGGTGAAAATTTTAATTTAATTAAAATCAGAATATAAATGTATTAATTGTTTTACATTTTATGACAAAATAATACTGAACTTTGGTGATATGCAGAAACTGTTTAAGATCAGTACTTATAAAACAAAGTTATTCATATTGTCTAGGCCATTTGCCTTACATTTATACATAAGCTGAAAAAAATCATGTACATTTAACAGACTATCTGTACACAAATATTCGACTATCTTATCTTCAGCTGATGAAAAGGTGAGAATTTTAATTTAATTAAAATCAGAATATAAATGTATTAATTGTTTTACATTTTATGACAAAATAATACTGAACTTTGGTGATATGCAGAAACTGTTTAAGATCAGTACTTATAAAACAAAGTTATTCATATTGTCTAGGCCATTTGCCTTACATTTATACATAAGCTGAAAAAAATCATGTACATTTAACAGACTATCTGTACACAAATATTCGACTATCTTATCTTCAGCTGATGAAAAGGTGAGAATTTTAATTTAATTAAAATCAGAATATAAATGTATTAATTGTTTTACATTTTATGACAAAATAATACGGAACTTTGGTGATATGCAGAAACTGTTTAAGATCAGTATTTATAAAACAAAGTTATTCATATTGTCTAGGCCCTTTGCCTTACATTTATACATAAGTTGAAAAAAAAAATCATGTACATTTAACAGACTATCTGTTCGACTATCTTATCTTCAGCTGACGAAAAGGTGAGAATTTTGTAGATGCCAAACTTATCTAGGAAGAATTTTGACTTTGAAAGTTCGCCATCAAAGTATATAAATGCCTTTTTTCCAAGATGGACCTCTTTAGATTTTTTTCCAAGATGGTAATTTGCAAATATTCAAGTTTAGGCACTTTTAAATTAAAAAAAAAAAAAGAAAGTTGTAAAATTATGGAATCAAACTTTTTATTAACCCCCCCCTGGTTTTTAGTTATATTTAGAAATTTGTTAATCTCATTTTTACTTCCTTGTACGAAGTAAAGGAAGTACTGTAATCGTTAAATATTTCGGCTATCATATTTCAACGAAAATAATCTTATTTTTACTTCCTTGTTCGAAGTAAAGGGAGTATTGTAATCGTTAAATATTTCGGCTATCATATTTCAACGAAAATAATCTCAGGAAGTATTATAATCGTTAAATATTTCGGGTATCATATTTCAACGAAAATAATCTCATTTTTACTTCCTTGTTCGAAGTAAAGGAAGTATTGTAATCGTTAAATATTTCGGTTATCATATTTCAACGAAAATAATCTCAATTTTTACTTCCTTGTACGAAGCAAAGGAAGTATTGTAATCGTTAAATATTTCGGCTATCATATTTCAACGAAAATAATCTCATTTTTACTTCCTTGTTCGAAGTAAAGGAAGTATTTATTGTAATCGTTAAATATTTCGGGTATCATATTTCAACGAAAATAATCTCATTTTTACTTGCTTGTACGAAGTAAAGGAAGTATTGTAATCGTTAAATATTTCGGCTATCATTTTTCAAGGAAAATATCCATTTTGTCCTCTCTCGATTCCATTTGAACTATATTTCTGCATTACATCGGCACATAAGGACAGAAGAAAGGACTCTTTTTCCGAAAACGAATTGGAAAATAGATTCACAAACAAAATTTTCTTGACGTCTGTACGTACGTATGTAAGTATCTCGCATAACCCCAAAATAAGTAGCACCAGAACGTTGAAATTGTGTACATAGGAGTGCTATTACATGTAGTTGTGCACCTCCCTCTTTAGTTGTAATCGGCCCAACCAAATGTATATAAATATATGTAAATACATACCCACTCATCTACTCGGCTGTATGAGCTTAAGTTTTTCATTCTTATATGTTGCTAAATTGTGCACTTTTTTTGTTTTTAAAAGTGATTAATATATTTAATTATATTGCTCTTATTTTCCGGTTAAATTTTTTATGCCTTTAGTTAATCTGCATGCAATAGTTGTAGAATTATCAAAGATTCAAAAGTTTTTAAGTTCCATTAAGCATGACGACACCGGTATTTGTTTGCATTTAAAACTCAATAACATAAAGTGAATTAAGTAAAGTTCTGCACTTAAGTGTGTTTTTTGCCGAGTGGAGCCAAAAGTTTTGTGCACGGAAAAATCTGCTTTTCTGCCTAATTTTATTTAATTTAAACTTTAATTTTAATTGTAAAAATTGGTTTAAACGGTTTTTAATTCTATTTGTCAGTTTAGAATTTTCTGTGTTTTACAATTTTTAATGAAGGTTGCTATGAGTTATTTTTTTTCTACTTTTTAGGATAAGTATAAACTTTTATTAAATACAACTATACGGACCTGGGGGCTATTAGTTAGATTTTCCAATTTTCACAAAATTTTAGAAATTTAAAAGTAGTGTAATATGAATATTTTTCTTATTTAAAGCATTTTTATAACTGAAGGCTGCTGCGAAAATAAATAAGAGTTTTATTATTTACAGGAAGTTCTTTCTTTCAGAATTCTCCACTTTTGTACATATCACTCAGAAGTCTTTCAATGGTGATGGCACCTATAGTTTTTCTGAAAAAGAGTTCTTCAATTGTGTTGCTACTAACATCTCTCAAGAGTGGTAGCAAGAGCAGGAGCCTTCCAAATCGGGAGGGATCCAATGGGTAGGTCCTCTGGATGTAGTTACTAAGAGAAATATTAGTTTGGTCTTGAATAGACGACACAGTGCTGTTATCCTGAAGACCTCGAGTCGTAGTTGCACCAGAAGTAAGATCTATTGGAAGGAAAAGTCAGAAATTTTAAATACTCTAACATAAATAATATTATAAAATACTATATAACAATTTGAAAATAAATCTTGCATTTTTAGTCCAAAGGGATTTGAATCCCGAAGGACTATTAGTTTCGTTTTGGCATTTTGCGTCGGACTCATAAATGTCGGTTCACTTTTCAAACTGTTGCCACAAAATGTTAGAGTCCTGCATTATATTTGAAGAAATTAAATAATGAAAAATCTGCGTAAATGTATGTATATTTCTCGTATTGTGATAAAAACAACGGTACATAGAGTCATCGAATTTTGAATAACGTAATCCTCCAACGAATATGAGCATGTGGAAAGACCAAATTTGAAATTTGAAATTTGTTTTATGATCGATTTCCTATTTTGTAAAACTTTGAACGAAGTTTTGATTAACAAACTCAAGGATTTCAAAAGCGAGCAATGGCAACACTCTACGTGCAGGGGGAAAAACATTTTATCTCCAGCGCGTGAGTCTCTGTATCGGAAATTCTAAAGATATGCTCGTTTAAAAACTATTTGCGATATTGCTGTTGCACTGGATGTTATGGTTTAAGTGCGAGGAACATGATATTTAATAAAGAAAGGTAACACACAAAATGTTAAAAAAAACGCCCCTTTGGACGTAATTTAAAATCTGAAACATTTCAGATTTTTTTTTTTATATATATATATTTTATTTTATTTATTTTATTTATTTTATTTATTTATTTATTTATTTATTTATTTTTTTTTTTTTTTTTTTTTTTTTTTTTTTTTTTTTTTTGTTGTTGTTGTTGTTGTAATTAAACAGCAAGCGAATAACAGTGAAAACACGGTTCACGAATTAATTCCCTACTTAAAGCCGCGTCATTTCGAGAGCCGAAACTTTTTCTCCGTTTCGTAAAACGAAACTTTTTCTCATAGGAATTAATAATAAGAAAAGTAAGGAATTAATTCCTTACTGAAGGCCGTTCGTCATTTCTAAACCAAAACTTTTCTATAGGAATTAATATTAAGCCTTCAATGAGGAATTAATTTCTTACTGAAAGCTGTCCGTCATTTCGTAAACCCAAACACCCATACTTTTTCTCATAGGAATTAATATTCAGTAAGGAACTAAATCCCCATTGAATCCGAGATTAACAGCCATTCTGGGCTAACGCCCCTTTGGGCTAAAAATAAATATTATTGTGACCGTTTTTGATGAAGTACAATCTCTGAAATAGTAAGGAAAATATCAATAAAAATTTGAGCTAAAATTATACATTTTGATATAAACACTGAAAAAAATTAAATGTGCACTCTGATAAACTCTGATAAACTGCTAAACTAATTTGATTTTACATGATTTTCTAAATGCGTGCCCAGAATAAGGACACTTTGCCTTTTTCGCAATAAAACTTTTGCTATTTTTGCAATTTAATCAATTTTTGCAATAAAATTGATTAATTTGAAAAGCGTTGTTGTTACAATGTTAGCAGAACAGATGCCGAAATTTTATAATCGTAGTTTCGGTATTATTACTTTACACAATTCCTTTGCAGAAAGGAAATACACTTACTTGGTTTGAATAAAACGAGAACCTTCAAAAGCATGAACTCTGTGGGATCAAGATTTATCTGTTTAAATTTTGAGATAATTTCTTGGAAAGCCGTTATCTCGGTCATGATAGTCATCATCTTCTGGGAAGATTCAGATTCAGAATTGATACCTAAGGAAACAGATAAATTCAATGTAAGACAACCCAAAATATAAAATTAATAAGTTTCATAAATTCACATTTTTTGGATTTACTTAGCATTGAATTGCAAAGGATTGCAAATCACTGTACTGCAAGAATGAAAAAACTGGACATTTTTTCCCCTTCCTTTCTTTCCTCCAGTATTCGCTTACTTCTACAGTGTGAGTGAGAAATATAACTACAGATTTGACCAATTTATATGATGACAGTATGTTACGGTTACGATAACTGACATAGCACCTCTGGGAAACCAGGAAAAATACGCAACGTTACCAACCAGACTTTTTGCAATGCCTCAAACTGCTGGTCGTTTTGAGCATTTGCAACCCTTGTCAACCTTGTTTGCCGTACTAGTATTACTACAGCCCTTTTAGGTTTTCTTTTTTCTGGCTGTTTCTTTTGTTAAGCAGTCATTTTTGCCACTTTCCACCAGTCGACGCGATTAACACTGCATTAAATTAGCTTCGCAATCATGAAGAACAATAGTCATTATTAGACGGATCATAGCATCTATCATTCTGGGTAATGATTGTTTGCAGCATGGGCAGATGTAATATGCCCATGCAGCAACTGCCCCTTTCATGCTCACTGGCATCTTGGCTAGCGTGCAGATGCTAAAGGCTCATCGCCATTTTGGAGATGATATAGTTGATATATGTCCAACATCGTATTGGTTATAAGAAAAGCTTGGGCAAGGAACTGATATATTACCATTGGAAACGAAATGATGAAGTTCTAGTTTAATATACCATTCATTACATCAGTCCATAATATATTATAGCATACTATTTATTATTATTATTATTTCCAATGGCAGAAGCTAAGACAAACATTCTAAACACAGAACAAAACTGTGTAAAAACATACCGCAAAAAGTCAATATATCATCATCTGGCCTCTAGCGCTGCAATGCTTCTGCATTTCACAGGCTTCACGCAATGCCAGGAACTTTCGTGGATGTGGGTCTTGTCCATTACTTCAACTAAGCCGCAAGGTGGGAGTTCGGCTGGTAAGGATACAAACACGACAGAGATGGCTCGACAAGAAGTCGTGACTAGTCGCCAAGAAGTCGTGACTAGTCGCCAAGAAGTTGTGACTAGTCGCCAAAAAGTCGTGACTAGTAGCCAAGAAGTCGTGATAAGCCTAAAGCTGCCCACAGCTTCTCCCCGTTGTTTGTTTGGGTATTTCCTTTCCAAGATGTGCTTCCACCTCTTGGTTGAGATAGGCGTCAGATGTTCACCTCTCCATTTTTGTTTCAAAAATTTAAGAATATATAGTTTTGAAGAATGGAAGAATAATTTGTAGATATCTACGAACAATCTTTCTCACTTTGGAAGCAGTTTGTCGGCCTGCTCATTACCATAAAATCGCCAAGAAGTCGTGACTTCTTGGCGATAAATCCATTGCAGCATGTAATCAATCCATTGTAATCAATCCATTGCATCAATCCATTGTAATTAATCCATTGCAGCAAAATCTCTTTACCCCTTACTCTCAATTTATCCAAAACAATTTGGCATTCAAGTCTTTCCACGGAGACTGAAAAAGGTCGCTCATAAAATAGCCTGTAGTGCAGCCCTGGAGACCGAGAGGATGATCCCTTTGTCTTAGCTGAAATCTGTGCATTAATCTACCTTAGGGTCACAAAAACAGCCATTACCTCGCCCTGGAAAGCAGTTCCCCACGTATTGTAACACTATATTTACTTCAAATGTGTAGTCGTACTTCTGACTGACCTTACATATGGTAACAACTGTTATCTGATATTGCATAAACTCTTTCTGCTCACATGTTAAAAGCACTTAACAAAACTGAACACTTGTATAAAAGTCTCTGTCTTGGATCCATAAAACTGTCCTCACTTCTGCAATGTAATATCTGTGATACATCCTTTATGAAAGCTCACTTTGATACTTCCCAGATACACTTACCATCAGGCGACGTAAAGTGTCTTGCGTCATATTCGCGATCTTCAGACATATTGCACTTTTAAGACTGTTAGTATCGGTTAGCATATGACTTTGATACTTCCCAGATACGCTTGCCATCAGGCGACGTAAAGTGTCTTGCGTCATATTCGCGATCTTCAGACATATTGCACTTTTAAGACTGTTAGTATCGGTTAGCATATGACATTAGTATCGGTTAGCATATGGCAGAAAAATTGGATTTTTAAATACCTTTTAAAAATGTTTGATGATTTCCCCGATTGACGTCTCTTCCGAGTTTGTAACAATCGGTGGTTCCCATTCAATTTACAGACTTTACAACAACAGACTTTCTTTTCCTCACCCCGGAGTTATTTGAAAGTTGAAGTTCTCACTCACATCCTACGTGATATAACAGCCTTAAAACGCAGTTCATCAGGATCTCTGTTACTACGCAGCCTACGCTACGCGCCCTACGTAGTGTAGAACTCTGCATAGAGTTTAGTCTGTGAGAGCTACGCTGTACTAGAAGATGGCAGCACAGACTTTTGATTGTCGTAAAAAACATCTCTCAAGCATTGTATTGAAGATATGGGGCTTTTTGTGAATTCGAGACACTGTCTAACTTCTGTTATATTTAGTACAATAAATGTGTTATCCTACTTTGAAAATTCGGTAACGTTAAATGACGTTTCTTGTAGAACAAGCTATTGATTCTAAGCAAAGCATTTTTATTGCATAACAACAATAATATTCTTCTGGTATTAAATAAAAAAATAATATTAAAGACGAAGGATTATTTACCTGCGGCAGCTAATAAAGGTCCTGCTTCAACCGGTAAATTATACTGAGAAAAACTTAATATGAAAAGATCTCTCCAGCCTTCTTCCAATAGCAGCAACTAAAAATAAAAAAACGAGCTTCATTATAAATTTGCATAAATAATATAAATATTTACAAACACCTATAGAATAAATCTGTAAGCCGCCCAGACGGTATAGTGGTTAGGGGGGCCTACTGCGATACCAAAAGGGCCTAGGTTCGAATCCCGGAGAAGGCATGGATGTTTGTAAATGTATAGTGTCTTTGCGGCATGAGGGCACTTTAAATACATGGCGAGCCATAAGTCCTCTCGGGAGGTTTATGGTAAAGGAAGAGAGGTGGGATACCCTCGGATCTGTCCTCCCGGAGTGCTGTCCATCAAAATAGCGGCCAAAATGAGCGAAGTTGAATTGTCCCCTGCATAGTGCTCAAGGCTCTAGCCAAGCAACGTAATCTTGCTCCACTAGTCAGGAGGCGCAATCTTGTTCTCCTTGCCACGATGGACTTCGTAGGCTTGTTTTGATGTTACTATCAGATAAGTGAGATAAGTCACAACAACAATACAAATCTGCAAGGATCTATTGCATTACGGTTGCAGAACATTCGATGGAAGCTGCGAAATTGCGATGCAGCTTTAAACTGACGCATTTTATTCAGGGCTATGGTCATATCTAGAAATTGGTACTTGCAATAAAAAAAATCATGTGATTTTTAAAAGGAAAAGGATCATTTAAATAAGCAACAAGAGTTTGTACTTATGTAACTTTTAGCCAAGAATTAATTATCTTATCTTATCTTAGGTTATATCCAATAACTGGCTTTTTCAGTAATTCTAACAATTGTCATTCGCTGTGTAAGTTTTCACTTAATAGTAGATGCGATTGATGAGATCTGTAAATTTCGAGATTAAGTAACTACTATAATTCACCTAGCAAACGACTAACGAATACGTATAAATGGGAAAATTGCATAAATGAAGATTCAGCTTAAGAATGCAGTACATTTATGTTAACTGTAGAATTTTATATATTACTATCATACCTATTATTAAATAAGATTAACACTATCATCCGGTTTTTATTTTGGTTTAAATATTTACTTTTATTTTTTTAAAAGATTAAGATTCGTTTTTTAAATCATAAAAATTCGAAATACATAACAATTAAGGAAAGTTAGACTATGCTTTTATTTCTTTTGTTCCTCTTGAACTAAATTATGCATGCATATTTAAACCTTTCCTAAAAAAAGCTGATACGCTATTTAACCTTTATGCAAAGTACTAAGAAACTCAAAGGTTAAAGCTTTAGGACATGAGATAAAAATGACGTATCTCTTAACAGCAAACGTGTCTGGTTAGCAGGCTTCATCAGTTATTTATTATGCATTCATCCTTTCAAATCACTGTCATGATTTGAGTCCCTAACCAGTATAAGATATTCCACGTCTTTTCCTATGTCTTAGCTGTACATTGTATCTCAATATAAACTTCGAAATATGGCGAAAAAAAGAAATGACTTTTCGAAGATATATTCCAACTTCCAAAAGCATTGCTAATAAATAAATTAGGAGGGTGGACACATAAGCGAAGTTGTGAGTCGTATACATGAATTATTTTACTAGTAAGATAAATAGGAAATAATGAAGACGGAGGAGAAAAAATATTAAAATAAGTGAGAAACCATAAAAAGGCCTTCACTGCATTGGTTATCTGATAAATAGTTATTTTAGTCCAAAGGAGCAATTTGCGTTGGTTCACTATAAAAGTCTGATTTACTTTTCAAATTGTAGCCACCAAATATTATCGCCCTGTATTATATTTAAAGAAATTAAATAATGAAGAATCTGCTTAAATGTATACATGTTTCTCGCATTGTGATAAAACTACAGTACCTAGAGCCATCCAATTTTAAATAACGTACGTTTCCACCCGAATATGGGCATCTGGAAGCCTAAATTTGGAATCTGGAGTTTGTTTTATTATCTATTTCATATTTCGAAAAACTTTAACGAATTTCTGATAACAAACACAACGATTTCAAAGCGAGCTTTGGCAACACTCGAGGGATTTTTTTTTTTTTTTTTTTTTTTTTTTTTTTTTTTTTTTTTTAATCTCCAGCGCGTGAGACTGTGTATCTTAAATTCTAAAGGTATACTCATTTTAAAATTATTTTGCGATATTGCTGTTGACCTGAATTTTATAGTTTGAATACGTAGAACGTATTTAATAAATAAAGGTAACACACAAAACGTTAAAAAAACGCCCCTTTGGACATAATTTAAAACCTAAAACCTTTCTTCTTATTTATTATTTTTTTTTTTTAATTTTCTTTAATGCGCACAAAAGTCATCTAATTGCGAAGAAAATTAATTAGTAACATGCTAAATCTGGAAGATTATTTGCCTTATGTAAACATTTCTCTACTGGTTTGGAATATATATATATAACTCGCTTATAAAGCGCCCTGATTTAACGAGAATCCGGATTTTACGAGGAAATCGGATGTACTTGGTCCTTATAATGTTAAATTTATGGGAGCATAACTCGTTTTTAACAAGCAAGCAATCCCCGGTTACAGTGAGTAGTATTTTTGAGATTCATGTACAATTTCTATTGACTTCCATCGCTCTCAACTCAACTAACCCTTTTTTGAAAAAAATTCATTCATTTTTGAAAAACATTCCGAAATCAGCTGAAAGTTAGTGATGACTCATTTAGTTAGAAAAATAGTACTTTTGAGTGCGCAGAAAACCTTCAAACTTTTTTCGAAGCCAAGGGTACAAATGACGATGTTTTCCGGGCCATGTGTTTTCTCCGAAGAATAAATAGCACAAGAAAGATATAATAAGGCAGTTCAAAGCTAATTAACCAACTTCTTTTGTACTGTACAGAAATAAAAAGAATAAGTAAAATACGTATAAAAAAAATGTCTGAAAGGTTTCAGATTTTAAATTACGTCCAAAGGGGCGTTTTTTTAACGTTTTGTGTGTTACCGTTATTTATTAACCATAAAATTCAGTTCAATAGCAATGTCTCAAAATAATTTTAAAATGAGCCTATCTTTAAAATTTCCGTTACACAGTTCCGCGCGCTGGAGATAAAAAGGTTTTTCCCCCTCCGTAGAGTGTTGCCATTGTTCGCTTCGAAATCCTTGAATTTGTTAATCAAAAATTCGTTAAAGTTTTAAAAAATATGAAACCCATTATAAAATGACTTACAAATTTCAAATTTGGTCTTCCACATGCCCATATTCGTAGGAGGATTACGTCATTCAAAATTCGATGGCTCTATGTACCGTTGTTTTATCAAAATGCGAGAAATATACATACATTTATGCAGATTTTTCATTATTTAATTTCTTCAAACATCATGCAGGACTCTAACATTTTGTGGCAACAGTTTGAAAAGTGAAACTGATATTTATAGCGATTCAACGCAAAATCGCAAAACGAAAACAAAGCCCCTTTAGACTAATAGTAATATTTGTATTTTTATTTTGTATTAGCGCAGCCCCGGCCCCCCCCCCCCCCAGCCGATTTAAATCGGCCACATGGCCAAAATGGGACAGGCCCGGAAAATAATAAAATCCACAAAGTTAGTAATAACATGAAACCAAGACAAAACAACACAGAACCATTCATACAAAACATAAAAAGAACTTCCTGTAAAATCTTGATCAGCCTTCGAATGAGCACAAAATTATTGAATAGGTCAGAAGATCTTAACTCTCAATTCCGATCTTTTCTTTATTGCCATTAATAATTTTCATTATTTCTTGAGCAAAATCTTTAAATCTGTTACTATTTACGATCATTTCTTCAATCTTCTTGTCTCCATACTTAAGCCTCACACCCCGGGTAAGAATACACGACTCGACGAAGTGATCTGCGTCACCGATCTTATCACAAATGAGGCATTTATCGTTGCCCTGGAGATGGAATCTATGTAAATAGAAGGGAAATCTTCCATGATTGGTTATAATCTGGTTGGCATCAATATTCATATAACATTTCATTCTGTTTGAAACTTCAATAAAATTCAAGAACCTATTTCTTTTAATAGAGGTAGACCAAACCTGCTTCCATTTATCATAGTAAAAATTCTTCATAATTGAGATCATCTTTCTTCTAGCCGGTCTTACATCAAAATAATCCATACCATCCCCCAGGGCAGCCTCCTTTGCCAGTGCGTCCGCCCTCTCATTGCCAGGATGTCCAATATGTGCCTTAATCCAGTGAACATGGATAACATGATATCCTAATGCTCTTTTAAACAGATCTTTAATGTCTTCCAAAATTTCATTTTTAGGCTCTGGCCGGGAGAGAGCCGTTAGCACAGATAGGGCATCTGAGTATATATGTATACAGTGTCTCTTAGTAAGTTCTCTTAATATCCAGTTAAGAGTTTCCCTCAAAGCAGCCATCTCATCCTGATAAACTGAATTATGTTCAGACATTTTAAATTTCTCTACATGTATCTCAAGTCCATAAAAATAGACAACAAAAGCTGAACCGACTCCCCCCTCGAAGCCAGAGCCATCCGTATAAATTTCAATTTCCTGTAGGTCCAATTTATTGCAATCAAAACTAATGCTACAATAGTCCATAGGAGAAAAACACTCTCTGGATTAAAATATTTAATAAAATTGGCACAAACTTTAAAATCATTATAATTAAAAGAGTCTCTCAATCCATTACTTAGTAAAAATTTTTCAAAATAAAACTGGTAAAAAATCGAGAGAGGGGGCACACCGGCAAGTATGCACAGAACCTCCGTCGAGACCGTCCTAAAAGCTCTGGTAACAGCCAAGAGCCAGCCTCTCTGCAAAGAGTCTAATTTAGTTCTTAAACGGAGGAGCTCCCCTGCCCGGACACCCCATGCGCCAATGCCATATATGATCTTGGGAAGAATAACGCTGATATAAATTTCTCTCAGGGTGGCACCTTTCTGAGCCAGAGTACTTGGATTAAAATTATAAACATAAAAAGTTAAAACCTTCTCTATCTTTCGTTGTATATCTTTAAAATGGGAAATAAAATTCAATTTCTGGTCTAAAATAACACCCAAATATTTTATCTCATCCTTAAAGCGTAGATTTTTTCCGTTAAATTTCAACTTAGGTGGTCTAGTATGAAAGCCACCCTTTGGAAAGAAAATAGCATTTGCTTATCCAAATTAAAGCGAATAAATTGTTTATGGCTCCATCTATTAAATAAATGATCTATCTGGGAAAACCTCTGTTCCAACTTTTCCAAAGAAGAATCATACACCAAGACCAGAATATCATCGGCAAAGCAGTTAATTTCAATATTTGGTAAATCGATAAGTATTTCATTAATTATAAGGCTCCAGAACAAGGAAGCGCTGCAAGAGCCCTGCGGGCATCCTTTCGTGATCTCATATTTCAGGTTAACACCATCACTATTACCTTGAAAGAACACTTGTCTATTTCTTAGATAATCTTCAATTAAGTAGTATAATCTTCCAATAACACCTAATTTCCTAAGGGCAGAAAGGAGTAAAGGCCAGGCAATAGAGTCAAAGGCACCATGTATGTCAAATGAGACAAGTGCAACATGAAAGTCCTTCTTCTTTTCCCTAATCAACTGTATAGTGTGATAAAGTGCAAGTTCAGTAGAACGCCCTCTCCTAAATCCATATTGTCTAGGCATAATAAAATCTTTCTTGTATAGAATAAAATTAAGACGATTTGTGAAGAGTTTATCTAAAACTTTACCAAAAACTTTCAGAAGACAGATTGGACGATAACGACCTTCACTCTTCGGAACAAGAACAATTTTTCCAATTTTCCAACAGTCAGGGAAAACAGATTAAATTAAACATCGATTATATAAAATTATAAAAAAGGAAGGATATTCACAAAACAATTTTTAATAATAGTAGCACCTATCCCATCCAAAAACCAGGAGCAGATCTTGTTCTTAATCTTGAAATCACACAATAAATTTCTTCGTACGTAAAAGGGGAATCATAAACTTCTCTATAATCCTGACTATTTTCTTCATGTCCTATATCTTCTTCATAAGAGTCTCTCATCACAGAGTCCTCCACTCCACCGGAATGGCCCTCATCCAATTTCAAAGCACTGCGGATAATACAGTCATAGTACTGTTCGACTGAATCATTATTCTTATCTTCCCTATCCAAAATAATATGTTGTCTTCTTTTATTTGTAGCAATCCTGTAATACTTATCATAATAATATTTACTATTCAAAAATATTTCTTCTCTATATTGTCTTTTAGTAAACTTAATCTTTTTCTTATAAAATGCAAGGTTTCTTTTATAATCCACTTTCCTTTTAATACGCAACTCATCAGGAATGTTTTTAACTTGGTAGCTTTTCCTAGAGGCTCTTAATTTCCTTCTAAGACTGTTCAATTCATTAGTCCACCATACGGTATGTTCTTATGTTGCAAGGTCTTCTTAATCAATAGATATCTATTCATATTACTAATCAACAGTCTCTCCATTTCACTAATACAATTATTCAACTCTAAAGAGTTGGAGGAACAACTAACTTTGTCTTCAATATCAAAAATATCCCTGCGACTCTTCTTCACCATTATTTCAATTCTTTTAATGTTTCCAGAGTACTTCTTTCTAATGTTACTATTGACTTTAATATCATTCAAATTAATCAAAATATATCTGTGGTCGCTAAGGGTATCCAAATCTAGAACTTCATATTTAACATTACTGATATCCATACCAGATGAACAAAGTGCAAGGTCAGTCCAGCCACTCCCCACAGAGGAAAAAAAGGTTGGAGATAAATTCTTATTGAATATTTAAAAGCTTCAAATTATATTGTACAATAAAATCATAAGTTCCCTAGCTCCCCAATTAAAATAGTAATATACTATTAGTAATTCGCACGAATTTTTTTATGTTTTTTTCACGAACCGGTTTTTTACAAACTCGGTTATAACGCTCAAACATTCGGTTATAACGAACAAAAATTGCGATCCCTTTGCGCTCCTTTTAAGCGAGTTCGACTGTATTGAGAACTTTCAGAAACTTAATGTTGTTAAATCCAATCCATAACGCAATATCTCCTCGTTCATTAATTAAATTTATGTGAAATACATAGACCTATACAAAGTTTGCATTATTCCCTGTATGTATTTGTACGAAAGATGCGTTTATTTTCCATGTTTCTTCTTATTAACAATTTAATAAAAACCGTTTTTATTTGCATTTGCATACTACATTGTCAGAATATAAATAGTTAAAATATGCATTCAAATTTGTATTTCTGTATTTATCAGTTGCTTGGGTTTATACTTATTTTGCACGTGTTATTATTAAAAACTTCAGTATGCACTAATTGATTATCTACAGTAATTGATAGTCTACAGTAATACGCATGCGAAAGATTTATAGGTGCAGAATCTAATGCATATTATCTGTTAACTAATATTTATGAAACGCTTATACTCTCTTTCTAAGAAGGTTTCAAGCTATAGTATGTTCCCGTAGTGTTAATTTGACCTTGGATTTTCAAACTTCCGCAAATATCATTGAGTATTCATCTTGTAAATTTAACTTTTTATTGATGAAAATAAATTAATGTGTTATATTATTCTTAATGTGTTACGTAATTAATGTTCTTTTTCCTAAACTATATCAATTTGGTAGATACAGAAGTCTCGAGCTTATGAGGAGGCGGGGACGAAATAAATCACACCTACCTGATCTCTGAATGGTAGATTAACAAAGGCGGGTACGCTTCTGGCCCACTGGACGTTATGGAAAAGCACCCGCGCTGCTGATTCGCAAATTATTTCTGGATTGAGCAAACTCGAGGGGAAGACCATCGTTGAAGGAGGATACTGAAGAAAATAAATACAAAAGAACAATGATACATTCGTAATGATTATTAAAGATTATTTTATATTACATTCGTTAATGATAAGGTATGACTAGTAAGGATTATTTCAACTTTACATTCATAATGATTAGTAATTAGTTACATTCGTAATCATAAGTAATAATTCTTTCAACATTACATTCGTAATGATAAGCAATGATTAGTAATTAGTTACATTCGTAATGACAAGTAATGATTAGTAATTAGTTACATTCATAATGACAAGTAATGATTAGTAATTATTGTACTAATCATTACTTGTACAGCTGTAAAAATACATTCGTAATGATAAGTAATGATTGTAATGAAAGGTTATAATCAAATGGCTAGTGAAAATTTCAGTGTGCATGATTTAGTAGCTGTCAAATATACATCTAAAAAATAATACTTCAAGCACTATAATTGCTAAATTAAAATAAAATCACATTTCAAATATTAATTAAATGTGAAGCAGACAGAAGAAACATATAACAATATAAAATGTAAAATTAATTCCTTCTTTTTAAACTTAAGATTAATATACTTTTTATATAAACTGTCAATTCTGAGGGACATTTGATATGACTCTCTTTTGTTTGAATTATATAAAAAAATTCTGCCATCTTCCTGTAGTTTTACAAGTGTGAATTAACTCGCAGATATCACGTGAGATAGTTAACAAAATGTACTTACATCGCTAATATTTGCTATCTGTTTCGCAAATATTTTTGAAATTGATAAAAAAATTTGCATTTTCTCAAATTAATGCAAAAATGTTCCTTTGTAGTAAAAGAAAATTTATATTATTGGTTTACAAAATTATTCGTTACCAAAATAGCTAAAAACTTTCGCTGCTGAAACTCCATTAATTCAAACACGTACTCTATTTTAAACATTTTCTTCTAACTTGTACTTTTCTTCAGTAGATCTTGTACTAATTGTATTTTTCTTCAGTAGATGGCAACATCAAATGCAGACGTATTTTTTGTTGGTTAATACTCGACTACAAATAGCAATCACATACTGGTAGAAGGCTTCATGAGTTACGATCATGTGCAAGAACACGTATGGCGTTATCAATATAGTTGACAAGAACTCTTAGTTGCCTAGCACCATTCCAATTTCGAGTGAAAATAATTTGCGAGGGAATTCGAGCCTCTTCTGCCTGCCTTGAGTTTCCGTACCCATAGTTTTAAATGCTTACATCATAAATGTCTTCCATGCGCCATAAATGTACCATAATAATAAACCATAACATTGTTGCAACCACAAATGCCTGACAAAATTGTCCAAAGCATTATCCCTCCGCTTAAAGAAGATAGTCACAGCATGTTTTGCCGTAATCCAATAAATCCGAATCCACCTCATGTCTTGACCATGAATGAAGACGGGTCACTACAGCCAATCTCTGCTGACTCTGAACACGATTATACATATTAAAAGTTAGACAGCAAATTTAAAGCTGGTCCATCTAATTGGGAATTCTTCTTCATAAGAGTGCCCGTCATTTAGGTGCACCCTTATTCAGGTCTACTACAATTCCAAGACATAAACCTCCATAAGGATGACCCCGCTGTAAAAATACACACACCCATCAACCAATCAATTTAAGTTGGAAGTTAAATTTTCAAGTTAGAAGACCAATTCTTAACATTGAAAAAATCAGTCTTTATAAGAAGGCACACACTTTTATGCCGGGGTATCCTAATGAAGTTACCTTTCTTTTCGAATCGTAACCGACCTGCTTAAGGGTGCAGGCACCTTATCACAGGCATCTTCATGAAGGCACCAGATCTAATCAGAGTATCCACCTAAAGTGATATTTTCCTATATGATGAAGATTACATATCTTAGAAACAGTCGACGAGTGATTCTCTAATATTAACGATAATCTCGTTGATCAGCTTGATACTTTAGACGATCATTAGCTCACACTGGTTAGACTCATCAATAAATTTAGGTAGCGTTTTAACAAACGCAATACGTCGAAGAATTCTTATTAAGTAGTTGTGCTACCATCTTAATTTAAACCGGTATTTTGGCTCAGATACCAAGCAGATACCAAGTTTGCCGCTCATGTTGAGGTTGAGTCATTTGAAGATGGCAAAGCACAGGAGGGTTACCTGTTTAGAGAGGATACCTTCGTGAAGGACGTTACTAAGCAAAACTGGAACACATGGGAAAAAACATGGAAACCAGCCATGGAGCCAGCCCGTTCACCTGGGATTGAACATGGGTCGAAATCACATGCTTCCAGTCGTCTTAACCACACGACCACCGGCGGATCAACTGGCACTGAGAATAATGGTTTTGATGTTCCGTCTATCTATTTGATGGCTGTTTCAGCTAGGGCAGTACCTATTACCATTGGATCAAAAAGTAAAATGCTGCAAGTAAGAATCAGTTCTTCCACAACAGATTAAAGTTTTCCACCTATCTAATGAGTTGTCTGAAGTATCACTGGATCTGACAAAGCATTCAGGTCCCAAATATATATATATATTTTTTAAATAAAAGCTGTAAAACTCATAATCTGCAATTTATACGCTTGATTTGGTACGTGAGCTGTAGAAGACATATATGGCAGATAACAAAATATTGTATTAGATTAATTTCCCAGCATTTATTACATTCGATTATACAACCATTTTTCTTACCTTTGCTATAGGATGACAAAGTGGAGCTTGTAGCCTCATCATACTAAAAGCCGTGATAGTGTTCAAAACAGGAGACCTAGAGGTCATAGGACAAGGGGAACCTCTACTGTCAGATGCTAATATGTTGCAGACTGGCGACACATGTGAGTATATAGGTGGTGGGAAGCTAGGTGGTGATACTGTATCGTGTGACCTGTAATCTTTTATTGTCGCCATCTGGCGACGGAGTGTGGAATTGCGAGGTCCTCTTTCGTGCTGTACTGCTGTGAAAAAAAAATCAGGCAAACGGGTTATTTGGAATTCGAAATAATAAATAAATTAGAAAAAACAAGCAAGTATATTAAGCTTAAATTTATTTCAGGAACTTGTATTAGGAGACTGTTTCAGTGTACATATATAAAAAATATTAGTAATATAACATTTTTTTTTCGTGACATCTGTACCTGTGTACGACATATTTATCTAGCATAACTCAAAAAAGATTAACAGTAGATCGTTGAAGTTTTGTATGTGGGACTGCTGTAACACGCTGTTGTGCACCTCCCTTTTTTTTAATTACAGGCAGCCGTACCAAAATATATGTATCCATCTCCCATTATCCAGCCTTTAGTTTCGCAATTCTTCATCGCAATCATGTACTTTCCAATAACAGAAGTATTTTAAATGACAAAAAAATTCCTATCCTGGCAATGTCAAATTAAAATAATAATAATAATAATTTTGGATAAATAACGAAATCTAGCTTTTGAAACGGTCTCTCGATTCCTATACTTGCATTTGGGAAAGTTTAATACTTGTTACGAAAAAATAAAATTATACAACGTTTGACTCCTCTACGATAAAAATTGACTGATATAGTTAATTTTAAAATTTGAAATTTTTGGTAACATTTTCAATTTGCCTCGAAGAATTGGTTAATTAAGTTAAAATAATTCGAGGAAATAAGTTTAAATAAAGTGCATCAAAAAATGTGTATCATTTGATCAGCCGATATCTTGTGTCATATATACTAAAAAAATCACCAGATCAGATTACTAAAAATTACTATATCAATTATATATGCTAAAAATACTATGACTGTGCACTTATCAAATATACTAAAAATCTGATGTGTACACCACATAACTTCCTTGTACGAAATATTAAATTATACGCTTTTTTTTTTTTTTTTTTGCATTTCATTTAAACTTATTAGATTAAATTAAACCTACGTCGCCGACAGCGCATAAACCGCAATAGAATAAATGCATTCTTTAAAATTCACATCATAAAAAAAAAAAAGCTTAGCGGCACTTAGACAACTTTAAAATTGTTGATAATTCTAAAAATATTGCATACAGATTTACTAAAGGCACCAAAACCTTAACCTGAAGATAAAAACAACATAATTCAATCATTTTTAAAGCAAAATATGTACAATTTACAAACATATAAGAGTAAAAAACTGAGATTACTGAGCCGAGTAACAGAGTGGATATATATATATAAATATATTTATACACGTTTGGCGCGGCCGATTGCAAACAAAGTACGAGGTGCACATCTACATGTTATAGCAGTCCTATATACAAAATTTCAACGTTCTTGAGGCTACTCGTTTTTGAGTTATGCGAGATACGTACGTACGCACGTACGTACATGCGTTCGTACCGACGCCACGAAAAATTCTCTTCAGAATTCATTTTAAAGTAGTTTTATAATTTTTGGGAGGAAAAGAGTGTTTTATTCTGTCCTTACATACAGATATCACGAAATACATCGTTAAATTGCATTTGAAAGAGGTCAAAATGGGATATTTTCGTTGAAATATGCTGCCTGAAACTTTTCGCGATTACAATACTTCTTTTTTACTTCGTACAAGGAAGTATTAAAAATCACCACATCAGATTCTTAGATATGTGACTGTGATAATTAGTTTCCTTTTGTGAATTATCAGTCAGATCTTTTACTTTTTTTTTTTTTTTTTTTTTTTTTTTTTTTTTTTTGTGTGGGTGTGTGTGTGTGTGTGTGTGTGTGGCATAATCCATTTTTTATACCGGATCGGACGCAACGAACCATCGAATATAACGAACCGGACATTCGGTTATAGGGGCTTTGACTGCGATAAAACATTAAAATTGGAGGGGCAATGACAAACTAAGTAATTTCTCACTTTTCTGGATATACAGCGAAACAGGTTAGGAGAAGAAGGATTGAAATTATGATTAAACATTAGAAATTCAAATGAAAGAGGATGAGCACGGTTGCAGTCAAAGGATAATTCAGAAAATCAATAAAAAAAATTCGGATCACCCTGCGCAGCATCAAGCAGCAAATCGTGCATAAGCGTGTGTCAAAACGCAATTCGCACAGCCACGCACATGATTCCACCCCGTCCTATTAGAATCAGTCGAATGAGTCCTTGTCATCGATACTGTGGACACCCCTGTGCACCAATTAATGCAGGTGCTCGGGTCCCATACAGACCGAATTCGAATGTTTTTGTTCACCAACTGAGCTTCCGACTGCAAGTTCGGCCTGTCTAAACTCGGTTTTTCTGCTCCAAGCATGCCTTTGTGACGTAATGGGGGCTCTGTTATTGATCCACCCCACCCCCCACACGCATTCTTTTAACGAAGAGCAGTGCACCTGGTGGGCCCGAGTGCTTCGTTATAAAAGGGGGATCATGATTCTATCCGATTTCTGAATTCACATCTAACTCCCTTCTTTGAAAAGAGGAATGGGGGAACTCATTATCAGCGGTGAAGTTGCACCCATCAGTTTGAATAACTCATGAAGCTCTTGCTGCTTTATTTACGCACTTTCCGCGGATGGACTTTTAAGGGTACTTTGGTTGAAAATGAGACCTTTTTTTTTCCCCCAATCCATGAAGGGGCAAGAACTTTTTTTGACGGCTCCGCTGAAGAGGGGGGCAGTGGAGAGTTGCGTCGTTCTTTGATCGACTTTGCTTTTGATTTCGATTCATGGACTTAAGACTGCGTGGCCGGAAAGATCGCATGAGTCAAGGTACTTCAGGTATAAAAGTTACCCAGCAGGAAGGGCAGTAGGGGTTGGCGTCAAAAAGTCTCAAGTTTCCGAACAGTATTATGGGATAGGAAGTGAATATCTTCCTGACTAACCCAGAAGAAAAGGTGTTTTCAACTCCCGTAGTTCACAGAAAAATGACGTCATACGGCTGAGGTGTGGCTTAAGAATTTCACGTCGAGAAAGATTTATCACGCATTAAATGACTCACAGCATTTAGATAATAAGATTGCCATGAGGCAATTAGATAGAATTTGAGTATATACAATATATAAAGTACACTACCAACTCCAATTATTCCAATTCCTATTATCCGAATCGCTTTCAGTATTTAAAAAAATTAAGACGTTAACGTAGTGTTGGACAATCAACGACTTCAGATATTAAGAGGTGAAAACCTACACTTTTGAAACCTCCTGTCACTGCTTGAAAACAAAGATGGGAGCTCTTCCAGAAAATTAATAAAGACAGGAACAAACAAAAATTTTGAAGATGTCGTTTTCAAGTGGTTTTTGCAGGGAAACCGAGTTTCGGGTTCCATTCTTCGTGAAAAAGCTAAGATCTCAGCTCAGAAGCTAGGCTGCTTGTTCGTACTTTAAAGCAAATAACGGCTGGCTAAGAAATTTCAAGTGCAAGCACGGTACCCGTCAAGCAGCTTACTATAAACGAGATGTTCAGCTAGCAATGACTTTCAGCATATGTACAGTACGCTATATAATAGGTACGTAAAAGTGTCGCCTTTTTCTTTTAATTAATTAAAACACCTTTTTCTTTAAAAATCGTTTTTTTCCTCCCATTTTCAACATGCGGTACATACACAATTAAATTGTACATAGACCCTTTCTTAGGAAACAAATTCAATTATCCGAATTTTTGATTATCCGAATGGTGTCCAGTCCCAATTGATTCGGATAAATGGATTTCTATGTTTGGAGACGGGGCTACCAGTTTGAAGGAAAGTACGCAGAAAAACTTATCGAAAATTGAGATTTGTGGTTTTGTAGAACTAAGAACGAAAGATTATTTCTTATTGACTCACTTTTTGAATAACTTTGTGCTCATAGTTTAACTAAAATAGTAAGTAAATGCTGTTCATAGACCACAAATGAGCAGAAATTTATAGCTGGCTGATTTTATTGTTGCTCAGTCTGATTCTTGGGTTTTACCTTTAACGAGGCGCAACTCAGTCTAACCCAATTAAGAGCAAAAGTAGTTTAACCAAGATTATTTCTTATTGGGTGACAGAATAACGACCTTTAAATTTGAGTTTTTGTTGTTTTTATATCCTTTTCGATCCCAGAGAGCTGAAGGATTTCAACAAAAACTCGCTTTCTGAACAACTTTGTGCTCATAGTTCAACAAAAAACAGTAAGTAAATGCTGTTCGTAGACTACAAATGAGCAGAAATTTATAGCTGGCTGGTTTTATTTGGGCTCGGTCTGATTCTTGGCTTTTACCTTTAAAGAGGCTCAATTCAGTCTAACCCCCTTTAGAGCAAAAGTTAGTTGGACCAATCGTCGGCTTTAGTTCAGGCATAAGCAAGATTTTTTGGCTGCGGATTGAAATCAACCAAAATGAGTTTATTAAGGTGACGTTTCAGATCAGGGGTATTTTTATTTTAAAACAGTCTTTTTTAGTGAATAATAAGATAATGTTTCTTGAGAAAATCATTACATTAAATTTTTAAGCTTTAATTATAAAGTATTACTACATTAAATATAACAACTATAATTATAATTTTTAAAAAATAAACCTAACTGGATCAACTTTACTCTGGTCTTCGACATCAATGGCTGCCGTGATGCTTAACTTGTGACGCCAACTAAGACAAGTCTGGCTCATAGTCAAGTTGAAATCAAGTCTGGCTTATAGCTAGTCGTCTTGAGACTAATACAATCATGTGAATCTCCGATAGTTAAGCTGCTTACTTAAAATATATTTTATGTGTGAAAATATTTGTTCGCATTTATAAGATGAACTGAATGCGGACAAAATGGCAAAGCCAGTTTTTTGGAATTGCAGATTACAGACGGGCGTTGCCAATCATATTCATATCGATTTCTTCGTGTAATTACGTTACAGTTTACTTATTATCAATTTTATTATTTGGTTATTTAAAAATAAAAATGCATATTCGTTACTGCTGCAACTTTTCAATCAAACAAAAATATCATTGTTATTATTTATTTCCCTTTTAATTTTTTTATTGATTGTTCAAGTATGTTTTTTTTCATATTTATGTTTTCTAATTAATTTTGATATATTATACTTTATCTTGAAACTCAAATGGATCGCTTGAAATTGTGGAACGGGTCACATGCTTTATTATTTTCTATGCTTTATTATTTTAATATCTTAATTGCTTATTATTTTAATATTATGCACATATAAGCTTAAGTAAATACCTATATGAATTTCTAAAACTCAGCAAAAAAAAAAACAAAGCTGAAAGGGGGAAATCATTGTTGTTGTCTTGTCCATGGAACAATGGTTGCCAGATTCTACTCCAAAGTGAGATTGGACTTCTATTTTCCACCTCAATTTTGAGGGAGAGCACCTAGGGAGGTAGCCGGGGTCTCCCCCCTCTCTCCTTACACCAATCCACACGAGAGGACCTTCGGCTCGCCGCATATTTGGAGTACCGTCATGCTGGCACTCCAAATATGCGGCGAGCCGAAAGCGGCACTAATACTACGCATAACCAATATGCGGCACTGATACCATCCATGTCCTCTCCGGGATTCGTACCCGGACTCTTCGATATCGTAGTAGGCTTCCCTAACCACTATACCGTCTGGGTGACGGTGGAATTTCCTGAAAATTTAAACATAAATTTGCAGTGTAGTATAGGCAAGTCGACGAACTTTAGCAATCATCTAACAATGAGTATAAGTGAATAAAGATGCCATTGGCCACCACTGGTCGTCAATTATTTAATATTGAACGCTATGCCGTTGGTCATCAGTCATCTAACATTATGAAAACATCGAATATGTCTACTATTACTTATTGGCTTTGTTTGTATAAGACAATCTGAGACTCACCGTCTTTATTCATGCCGGCCGCTAAACATTTTCTAAGTCTGCAGGAACGACATTGGTTTCTGTGCGTTTTGTCAATTGGACATTTATTGAGAGTTTCACCTTGACCTTTGCAAGGGTACTGACGACTTTTGCGAATTGATCTCTGCAAAATAAAGATATTGTCACGAATTTTTTATACATTTAAATAATTTTAATGAAGATATAAGTGAAATTGTAGTATCTTTTATATAACGTAACATGAAATTGAGGCAATGAATCCTTGCAAAATAAATAAAAATAAAATAAAATAAATAGAACGAATAAAAAAGAAAACGTAAAAAGAAATAAAGAAATAAAAAGAAAAAATAAACAAAGAAATAACTAAATAACAAAAAAATAAAAAAATAGAAAAAAATAAAAAAGATCCAAACAAAATAAAATCAAAAAATAAAATAACTCAGAACAAAAAGTACCAAAGGACCCTAAAGAAAAAATCCACTCCGAAGAAAAAATGAAAGAAATAGATAAACTCTCCAGAAAAAAAAAAAAATAAATAAATAAAAAGCTACCTCAAATAAAGAAAAAATCTCAATATACATAAACCCCTCTCAAAAATCCCTCCTAATCCAAATAAAATAAATAAAAATCCCTAAAAATAAAAAATAAAACGAATAAAAAATCCCCCCTAATAAATAAAAATAATAATCCTAAAAAAAATAAATCCCTAAAAAAGTTTACAGGGGCAATTCTATTAACACTGAGGTCCGGTTGTCTCCCTAAATTGGCGAGATATCGCCAAGGTGGCAAGGAAAAATAAAATTGCTAAAAGTCGCCAAAACTGACGCCATTTGGTACAGTCTACGTTTAACTGCAATTGATACTCTAATTGAATAACTGGAACTGATACCTGTAAGAAAATTAACAATTTGTAGAAACTAATCATTTGGTCAGGGAATTGTAAATAGTCCCATTTTAAAAAGTACGCTTTAAAAAAAAAAAAAAAAAAATCTGAAATGTTTCAGATTTTAAATTACGTCCAAAGGGGCGTTTTTTAACATTTTGTGTGTTACCTTTCTTTATTAAATATCATGTTCCTCGCACTTAAACCATAAGATCCAGTGCAACAGCAATATCGCAAAATAGTTTTAAAACGAGCATATCTTTAGAATTTCCGATACAGAGACTCACGCGCTGGAGATAAAAATGTTTTTTCTGCACAACGTTGCCATTGCTCGCTTTGAAATCCTTGAGTTTGTTAATCAAAAATTCGTCAAAGTTTTAAAAAATAGGAAATCGATCATAAAACAAATTTCAAATTTCAAATTTGGTCTTCCACATGCTCATATTCGTTGGAGGATTACGTTATTCAAAATTCGATGACTCTATGTACCGTTATTTTATGATAATGTGAGAAATATACATACATTTACGCAGATTTTCATTATTTAATTTCTTCAAATATAATGCAGGACTCTAACATTTTATGGCAACAGTTTGAAAAGTGAACCGACATTTATCCGTCCGACGCAAAATGCCAAAACGAAACTAATAGTCCTTCGGGATTCAAATCCCTTTGGACTAAAAAGACGGAGATTAAAAAAAATGATTAAAAAAAATCCTAGCGCCCAAACATAATTTAACGCAGATTACTTTCCATGTACATGACTCTTAAGTAGGAACATTTAAAAGATTGTATACCTGTTATCACTAAGATAACAAATTCCTGCATAATTTAGCTCTTTGCGCATATTTAAACTTTAGTTGTTTTACAAATTGAACCATTCACCTACATTTTCTTTCGTAGTACTTGTAGACAGGATAATACATACACACAAAACTGAATATTAAAGTGAAAAATTAACATGATACTGAGTGCAGAAATACAGAAAGCTGATCTCTAATGCCTGCAATACATAGCACTTACAAAATGCATACGGTAATACATGAAAACTTAAAACTAAAACTGATAAACATAATACATAAAACTGATCATTAAGTAATGCTTATGTAATCTAAATCCTAGCCAAGTACGAACTGACCTCCACAATACATGCAGAGAAGGAATAAATACAGACTTGAGTACTTTAAAGTGAACATAAACAGAAAAGTACAGCACCATACTCAGTAAAACTGATATCTGATTCCAAACACTTGAATACATAATGCTGATACATAATTACAAAGAGAACCTTACCTACATTAATTCCATAGTTACTTTTATCACCTTTATCACCTTTATCACTTTTATCACCTTACTTTTATCAAGCCGTCATCGGTCCTATATGCCTTCAATCTATTACGAACCCGTGCACACGCAAAAGAAGTATGTTAAATGTTAACAATGAAGAGAGCAAATGCTCAAAATTACTCTGAAGTTGTAATAAGATTGCGAAAAATGTAAAGAAATTTTATTTCTTCTTTACTAATTCTTTATTAAACATATCAAATAAAATATAGCGCTAGCTTTAAAAATTTAATTGCACGAGAGTATTAATTGCACTGCATATTTTAGTCTTTAAAAATGAGCATTATTATAGACAAAGAAAAATTTTAATAATTTAATTAATATCAGATTCAAAAATTGAGAAGAAAAAATAACTTACCTTAAAAAACCCAGCGCATCTGAAAAGAAAAATGTGAAAATAATATTAGTTAAAAATACATTTTAAAGAAAGTAGTGCATTTCATAACAAAATCGCTAAATATTAAAAAAGTGAAAAAAAGAAAAGAAAGACTGAAAAATTCTAATCGCAACTCGTGTCGAACTTCCAGTATTCAGCGGTCTTAACCACTCGTTCATAAGTAAGGCTTTGAAGATTATGCAATTTGTTTAAAAAATTTTTTCTTAATCAACAAATTACTTTAAACTACATTTTAAATAAATACATATTACTTATATTTTAAATAAATATACATTACTAAGTTTTTGCACTATTATATTTTCCCATTTCATGCACAAATTTCCGAATTTTTGTACAATTTTATTCTAATAAAACTATGCTATCTTAAAGAGTGTAAAAATACATTTCTGTGCATGTAAAAATTTTAATTCTGATTAACTAACAATGAGTCTTTTAAAAAGAAAGCTACTGAACAAAAATTTAGTTCATCTGCTTATCCAATAACATAGAGATTTAAATAAAAAATCTGATGCGGACACCACGTGACTTCCTTGAACGGCCTATTAAATTATACACATTTTTTGCTGCAATTCATTTAAACTTATAACCCCTAACTTAATTAGAGGCACATTTCTCATTCAGTTAATTCGGTTCTTATTTCGCGGCAAGGCAAGATTGCATAAAACATCTCTATTATAAGTTGAAAAATATAGAAAACATAAAACACCAAATACAGTTACAAGACTTTAAGAAAAAAAAAAAAAAGTTTTTACAATTAAGATTAATGTTTTTAAGCAAAAACAAGCAATTCTGCCAGCAGACAAGAACACAGATATTTGGGTGCACAAAACTGAAATTTTAATTTAATCGTAAAAACGTAAAAATCTGCACAAAACTGAAATTTTAATTTAATCGTAAAAACGTAAAAATCATTAATCTTAATCGTAAAAACTGTTTTTTTGGTTACACTCGGCAAAAAGATACTAAAAGTGCAGAAACTGAATTAATTCACAATTCTGTTAAGTTTCAAATGTAAACAAATGGCTGCTCTCTTAAGTTTACTCCCACTTTAACAGCTTTCAAATTGTTGATAATTCTACAACTATTGCATGCAAATTAACAAAAGGCATAAAAACCTTAACCAGACATAAGAAGAACATAATTCAATCACTTTTAAAGCAAAAAACGCACAATTTTTCCAACATATAAGAATAAAAACTGAGCTCATAGAGCCGACCAAGAAAGTGGGTATATATATATATATATATATATGACTAATAGCAAATCGCTATTTATTTTATTTTGTACATTGGCATTACCAGTCCATTATGTAAAGTTATTATTACACCTTAATGTGTTTCTTCAATCGGACGCGTCGGGAAATTGGAACAGAGAATTGAGACTAAAGTTTATGGCGAAGTTTATTCAATTAATTTTTTTAAAAAAGAGTAGTTTCATATACAGTTTCAATTGTCTGTTTCGGCGAAACGCGATATGGAATTAGCTGGACTCGAAAATCATTAAAATAATTTCCCGTGCAGAGCCTTAATGAGATTCGAATTGGGCTAATCTACCATTTAGCGCTTCTTTTTTTTTTTTTTTTTTTTTTTTTTTGTGTGTGTGTATTTTAAGTCTTTTGTTCCACTTTAATTCTAATGTTCGAAATACGTCTTACTTTGATCAGCATATTGCTTACAATTAGTATTGAATTTTATTTATAAATATTCAAATGTTTATATTGTTTATTTAATCTTTTATATTTACACATTTCATTGCACTTTATTTTACTTATGTTAATATTGTCAACGGAACCACAGTATCTAAGCAACTTTTTGGCGTACGATCTAGGAATTTTCATTTTTTTTTCTAAATTTTGCAGCTCAATGCGCAAAGTTTTTGGACCAACTAGGTCTTTTATAGTTTGTTCTCTTTTCTTTAATTATATATATATATATATCACACACACACATACACATACATACATACATATGTGTGTGTGTATATGTATTTTTGGTACAGTCCATTGCAAAAAAAAAAAAAAAAAAAGGGGGGGGGAGGTGCACAGCTACATGTTATAGCACTCCCATATACAAAATTTCAACGTTTTGAGGCTATTCGTTTTTCAGTTATGAGAGATAGGTGCATACGCACGTACGTACGTACAGAAGTCACGAAAAAGTCTCTTCTGAATTCATTTTAAATCCATTTTTTAATCCGTTTTGGGAGACGTATAAACGTCGCACAAAAAAGTTGTCCAGATGGATTCGAAAATGGTCAAAATGGCTACTGCCATTGAAATATGATATCCGAAATTTTTCGCGATTACAATACTTCGTACAACGAATTAAAAATTAAATTTAGGGAGGAAAACTAGTGATTTTTGCATTATAAACCACACCTACAAGTGTTTCGCTATGATGTTAAGATAAGTCTTTTGCTAATCCTTCTGTAAAAGCTACATCAAGCAGGAAAATCTTAGATGAAGAGAATTATAACTCTCTCTCTATATATGTATTATATATTAACATTATAACAATAAAATACATTTTCTTTGTTATAACTGATGAAAGATGTTTCTAATATCATATATTTCGATCCTAATAAAGAATTATTTTTCCTTTTGCCATGTGCCTGCATTTGCAATAGAAGTCCAATTATCCGAATCCGAATTTTTGATTATCCGAACCTTCATTTTATTTAATTAAAAACCACTTTTTCTTTAAAAAGTTTTTCTCTCTCATTTTCAATATACAGTACGTATAGCAATTAAAACGTAGGCAGATCCTTTCTTCAGGAAAAAATCCAATTATCCGAATTTTTGATTATCCGAACCACTGCATATTGAAAATGAGAGAGAAAAACTTTTTAAAGAAAAAGTGGTTTTTAATTAAATAAAATGAAAAGACAACACTTTTACGCACATGTTGCATAGATTACTATAGCACTTAAAAGTGCTGAAAGTCGTTGCTTGCTGAACATCTCGGTCAAAGTAAGTGTTTGACCGTCTTCATCCGTTTTCGGACAGCCAAGCCGCGAGTCCGCTTCACAATGAAAGAAGCTGCATGCGGCCACACGCTATTAACTTTGCTAGTCTAAATTTTTTATTAATACTTCGAAAACATGTTATTGTTTCAAATTTGCTAAAAGTTGTGTAAACTATAAGCTGATGCTACTGTCAATAGACGATGCATAAACTTATCTTCAATTCTTTTAATGTCCACCGTGGCTTAACTAAATCTTTGAAATCGCTTTCTTCATTTGTGACGTGAATACAAACCAGTATCCCTTAAAAAGTTCTCCACGAAATCACACCTTCCCCGAGACGAGATACTCTCGTATGCTTAACCGTAATTCAAACAGTCTACTCTCTTAGAAAAGTTCTCCACGAAGGCAACCGGTTTCCTATGCACGCAGGCCGTGTGTAGTAATTTCTATAACCCAATCAATTCAGTAGTAGAGAAAACAACGTGAATCAAACGATCCAAATATCAATCCAAGTTTATCGTTTTGCAATATTATTTTATACATTAAATATTATAAAATTTTCCAACACTTTACAATAGATGCAAAATTCCTAACTCGGATTCTTGTGTTCATTATAGTCTGCATTCAGAATGAAATTTAAAGATTGTGATGAAATTTTTGTAGTTACGTATGTTGGAAACTTTCCATATATTTTTAACTTTATTCAAACGAAATACGTTTTCTAAGGTGATGTGGGAGAAAGAGGTTTTAAAAGTAAAATTCTTTTCGAGTTGAATTTCAATTATTTTCCCAGCAGGAAAGATTTTTTTTATTTTTTAACCTAAACTTCATGTACCCATCGAGCACATTAAAATAAAAAAAAAACTTGCATTTCTTTCTTATAAAAAATTCACATTCAGCGTCTGAGGGTTGAGAAATAACCTAATTATATCTTCACCAAATAAAATCCGAAAAAAATTCTAGCATTCGTTCTAGGACAGAAGACAAATAAAACATGCGAAGTTTCCCTCCCACAAATCATGTTTCTCACGACCCCTGACTGGCAGTTTTCCCAAACAGCAGCACGTGACCATGGGTGCACAAACCAACCACCGTGTGGCGCTGAGTCCCCGCATTTCCAACGCATTTCCTTTTGTAGGAAATGACAGAAAATGAGTAGGGAGGGATCAGGCTCTAAAGAATCTCCATCTGCGCGAGCTTAGGGGTGGTTTAGAGCTGCCCTTTTAATACCGGCAGAAATTGCTCCCACCCTCTTTGAAAGCGAGGGCTTAGCCTTTGACTTGGTGACGCGCTTTGACCGGGGACTTCCAGCCATTCTGGTAAGAGAGGGGTTAGTAGCAAACGTAGAGAGAAAAAAACTTTGCGTGAAATATCAAAGATGAGTTCTTGAACTTCTAAAATTAAATGCCATAAATATTTATCGCTGTAAATAGCAGCGTCTGAATAGTACAGCCATTCCTAGAATATGAAACTTTTGGAAGTTATAAACTCTCAATATTATCTCCTAGAATATATTAACTTTTTATAACCTTATCTTTTTCAAATAAAGGTGAAAAGCTGCACTGGTATATATTTATAATAAATTTCTTATTGATATCGAAAGCAGTTCAATAATCGATAAGTTTTGTTAAAAGTCTAGGCTAATTTAATTTTTTTTTCCCCAGGCCAAAGGGCTATTAGTCTCAAAATGGCATTTTGCGTCGTTTCACTTTTCAGACTGTTGCCACCAAATATTATCTCTGTGTATTATACTTAAAGAAACTAAATAACGAAGAATCTGCATGAATGCTTCTCGCTTTGTGAAAAAACAAAGGTACCTAGAAACATCCAATTTTGAATAACGTAGTCCTCCAACCGAACATGGGCACTTTAAAGCCCGAATTTTGAATTTGTTTATTATCTATTTCAAATTTTGTAAAACTTTAAATAATTTTTGATTAACAAACTCAGCGATTTCAAAGCGAGCAATGGCAACACTGTATGGAAAAAAAAAAAAAAGTACCTCCAGCGCACGAGACCGTATATCGGAAAATTTTAAAGATGGTGCTTTTTTGCTCGTATTAAATAGTTTGTGAATTGAATTGTATGTGGTTTAAGTGCGAAGAACACGATATTTAATAAATAAGGGTAACACACAAAACGTTAAATAAAAAGTTCTTTTGAGGTAATGTAAAATATGAATTCCCTTCCCTCCCCGTATTTTAAATTCGCCGTTGTCGATTTTCTTTCCCAAGAAGATAGATAATCTTTTCTTATGAATGCTTATATCGCTCGTATGTAAAATGGTTACATTCTTTTAAAATTTAAATGTCTTTAAAGGAAATTTATCAGATGCTGTTTTTATAATTACTTACTATTTCTTACTACTAACTTTGTTAGGTATACTGTTTCCAAATATTTAAATACGAGATTTTATTGCAAGAAAATTAAATATATAAATACTTGTTTTATTCTATTACGTTTTTTCAAGAATTTCAAAAAAAAAAAAAAAAAAGAGAAAGATGGGGGAGAAAAGGAGAAAGAAAATAAAGCAAGCAGAAAGGAAGGAAAGAAAATATTTGGCAGGAATATTTAAAAGTCTCTGAAATCTAAAATATAAAAATCTATGTAAATTCTCGTTTTCGTGATGAAGAATTTATTATTTTATTACGGTAAAATGTACTAGCGTTATCTGGCTAAGAACAGGCATATCTTCGAGGAGGAATTTTTAAGGGACCCTGGCTTATATTTATTTTATACACAAGGGAAATCACAAATGTTTACCTGCAACCAAGCGCTGGCCAAGGTTTGAACCCGGGTTAAATTCTTAATGCCTGGCGATGAACGAACATATCCCAATAATTCAAAATTTGTTTAATTCAAATTTTTGTTCTTAACGTTAATCAAAATTAGTGATTATATTCGTTAAGTAAAACCCTTTCGCTTGCTTAGAATAATTCACTAATATTAATTAACAGGAATAGGAGAAATGTGAATAAATTTGCAAGTCTTGAAGCTTCGAAGATAAAATACAACCTCCTTTACCAGCTGTGGAAATGAAATTGATTAAACAAATACATAATATTCATTAGCCCACATACAATACATAGCGTACATTAATAAACATTACTATACAGTTGTTAAACAAGAATATCCTTAGAATTTCGCACTAAAGAGTATGAAACTTATGTTTGGAAAAAGGAAAGTCGTAAATGCTTTACTGCCCATCTTACTGTGAAGGGAATATTCCATATTTTCTTTTTCTGCTCAGCCAAAATTACTCCTTTGACGAATTCAGTTTTTTGGAGGAATTTCAGATCCAGATCCGTGAAACTTTTTTGGTTCCGTTTAATGATCCCAGATCTATCCAGTCTTTTCCAATAACGTTTTAAAGTTTGTTTTTAGTTCACTTTTTATTCAATAGATGGCGTTATGGGTTTCGCTTTCTATCATTTAGCTATAACATTCGTGAATTCTTTGTTTTTTTTTCAATCAAGCCAATCTTTCTTTCATTCCGGCAGTCAAGGCAGAAGGTTCTACTTTGCTTACTAAACCATAGTTTTGTAAATTTACCACGTTAAGCAGATTTCTGTTGCTTATTATTGGTTGTTTACTGCTTTTCTTCTTGCTTTACTAACACATATATAAGTCGAAAAAAGTTTCATAATTGGTAATTAGAACGCGAAACATTACGAGGACCTTTTCACAAATAATATAAAATCATCGAGGACGAAAATGTTACTGAGAACAAACATAACACAAGACGAAAACGTCATCCTACAAAACCATCTTGGAGAAAAGAAAGCAAAGAGAAAATATCACAGTTCTAAAACATGGTGGACGAGAATATATTGCTAAAAATTAAAGCACCTACAAATAATCGCATGATGATAATGTAGCAGACATATGTTTTAAAGGATTTAAAAGTTGCAAATCCGCGTTCGCATAATGATTTGTGAACGCAAGAAGGAATGAAGAATATTTTTACTTTTATGTTTCTGAAATAGCTAATACATTTTTGCTAAAACATTAAGAAGAAAACTTAGACATTCCAAAACTGAAAATAAGTAGAAAATTAATCCTACTTCTAATGCTTATGTTTCCTTCTTACTTTTCAGCAAAAATTTATTAGCTAATTCAAAAATATAAAAGTAAAGATTTTCCTCATTCCTTACACTCGCAAATCCCAATGCTAATAATATGAGAGTTTTTAAAGCCTGAAAAAGCATGCCTGAGATATTATCGTCATGCGATGATTTGTAGGTGCTTTATTTTTTACCACGAAGTTTTCGACGACGTTTTTGAACTGCGAAGTTCTTGAATTTTTTATGACGATACGTATATTATTTTACGTACCACGATGTTTTCACCTTTCTTTCTTTTCTCCCTCGATGTTTTGAACAACGACGTTTTCCCTTGCGATGTTTCGTCCAGAAAGTTTTCGGCAAACAGCTGATCAAACTAATTGCTAGGTTTATATAGGAGTGTAATTTGTGACTAAGTCAAAAGTTATAACGCATTATAGGTAGCAATTAATCATTAACAGTCCATAAATTATATATTATATATGGAAAAGTATTAATAAGCATGTATATGTATTATATATGGAATGTATAATTTCATTGCTCTTTCAGTCTTCAAACCCTCTTTCTGACCAATTAAATTTACCAGAATAACTTCCCTCCGTCTCACATTCGCAGAAATTCTCACACGTAAGTAAAGTCTACAGGAGTTCTTTATGCCTTTGGCAAAGCATCATTCTGCTTTATGTACATAAATATTCTCCCCTAATGCTTCTAACCCAGCGCTACAACAAAGGAAGGAGGTGTCACCTACAGAAGTCCATTGTGAAGAGAAAAATATCTGCCTCTGGTGTTTGATTCCCGCCACTTGAAGTGCAGAAAACATCCCCTGGGGAAAAGGGGACTCAATGAGGGACCGCCTCCTGTCCCGCACAGACAGGGGACCCTCTGCCCTTGCATCCTGCTGTAGAAGCCCCGTCGTGTGATATCTTTATCACAGGGATTCCCCTCCCTCTGCTTATGGAGCAATCGGAAAGAATGTGCAACGAATTGTCAACAACGTTTGCAATTTTATGAATGAACTTTACAAAGCTGCAATTCACGACGATGTCTGACCACAGCATATTTAATGAAACAACGTTAAGATGAACTAGAAAAGATGTTTTGTGTTCAACAAATTAAGATCTTTAATAATAGTAATTAATCAGCCCCCCCCCCAAAAAATTAGAAAAGCTTATTTATGTGGAAGATGTATGTTTATAGAAGACACAGGCTGCAAAGCAAAATACACAACTGAATAAATTTGTGTTAGAGAATTAAATTCGCGAAAGTAAGTAAATTATAAACAAGTCAACATTTGCGTCGGTTATTAAAAACAAAAATTATAAACAAATCAATATTTGCGTTGGTTAAGCACAAACAACCAATTATAAAATGGTCTCTGATTTTGTTTGTTTGTTGTCGAGTCCATATTTTACGAAAGAATGGGGCCCACCAGCGGCCGAGCGGTAAAATCGCTGAACACTGGTAGTTCGGTCAAGAGTTCGAATCCCGCGAACGCGATAGCTGCATTTTATGGTTTTCGAAATGTATTACCAGTAAATTCTCAAGGGCTATCTGCCTAAGGGAGGGATACCTTCGTGGAAGATTTTAAGGGAAACTGGCTCGTATACACGTTACACATGGGGGAAAACCACGAAAACGCCCATGCAGCCAGCTCGTTCGCGGGATTCGAACTTCGGACCGAACTACCAGTGTTCAGCGACTTTACCGCTCGGCCGCTGGTGGGCTTAGTATACGAGCCAGTTTTCCTTAGAGAGTCCTTCACGAAGGCATTCCTTCCCTTAGACAGACAGCCCTCGAATGCTTTGCCGTAATTAAATAAACCAAGCCAAACCATGGAATGATGGTTTTCAGAGCCACAAGAAGGTTGGACTTCTACTTCCACCCCAATTTTGAGAAAAATCATCCCACCCGCGGGAGGGACGCAGGCCTCCCGCCACTCTCCCCTACCACCAAACACACTGGAATTAAGTAATCAATTATTATCATTAGTAAACGAAAAAAAGCTCTTATGGCTACGAAAATTGAAAATACAACCATAATGTCATATAACCAACTTAATTAAGAGAACATAACTTAGTTAAAGGAAAGCATTAATATATTTTCTTGAGCCATTTTTTAACGGAAGTTATTTTTGAAAACTTTTCTTTCATTGCTCCATTAATGAAGCCAAAATGAATTACTTTGTTATATTTATATATACTTATTTATTCGCCGCCTAGATGGGAAAATGGACACTGGCCACGGGTTCGAATCCCGGAGAAGGCACGGATGTTATTTATCCGTCCCTTCACACAGGTGGTCCACCTATTAGGTGCCTCCATAATAAAGTGACCACCAATTCCGGCTTTAGTCAGTAGCCCACTTGGGGGGGGGAATGTATTTACTCTTTTTTTCCCCTCTAATGGCGGGCCCAATCCGTCCACAGACGTTGACCATTACTAAGGCCACAATCAGTGGTCACTTTATTATGGAGGCACCTAATAGGTGGGCCACCTATGCCTTCTATAAAGGGGACGTACAAATGCAACCATACCTTCTCCGGGATTCGAACCTGGGCCTTTCGACACTGCTGTCGGACTCCTCTAAAAACTATCGTCTGGGTAACGAATGTATTTACTCTTCGATGTGAAAATTACTTGAAGAATCAGAACAATTACTTAACAGTTACTTGAAGAATTGTTGCGATTTAAAGAATCATAGATAGCAATTATTTAAAAAAAAAATTGAACAAAAAATACTTGAAAAATCATAGCAATCATCTGAAGAACTTTAAGATAATTAAGTTAAGAAGTGAAATTACTTGTACTTACCCATCGCAAGCAAAAATTCCGTAATGTTTACCAGATGAATGATCTCTGCACACTTTGCAAGGGACATCAAATAATATACGACCTGGAAATAGAAATGAGAGAGGTTTAATTCACATTTCGAATTTTTAAAGGCAATAATAAGTATTAGTTGGAAAATTGGATGATAAATTATTAAGGGTTAAAACGTAAACTGTTTTTACATTTTATTTGATCTGAAGTGTCATTTCAGTTTTACTGTTATTTGCTGAAGTTAATCCATACATAAATTATGAATCTTCCGAATAATACGAAACGATTTATAAAAATTTTTCGAAACCGTACATTCAAATTAATAAAAATCTTCGCACTTTTTAGCCAAATTAATAAAATTTTCACATTTTTGTAAAGATATTAATGAAACTCACGTATTGGCGATTTAAACTAAAGAAACTTAATTATGTCAAATTAAGGGAATTTTCGTATTCGTGTGATCAGATTAAAGAAATTTATCTTATCTACATTATTAATTAATGTGACCAGATTAAAGAAATACATCTTATCTGCTTTATTAATTATTGATCAGATAAAGAAATATCTAGCTTATCTGCTTATTCTGGATCAGATTAACGAAACATCTTATTCTTTAGTAATGAATGTGATCAGATTAAGAAATACATCTTATCTGAATTATTAATTAATGTTAATGATTCAGATAAAGAAATACATTAGTTTAAAGAAATACATCTTATCTGAATTATTAATTAATGTGATCAGATTAAAGAAATAGATCTTATCTGCATTATCAATTAATGTGATCAGATTAAAGAAATTTATCTTATCTGCATTATTAATTAACGAAACTAATTGAACTAAAATAAAACGGTCTTACATCATACGGCTCACAAGCGGCCCAGCGTTAAAATCGCGTAACACTGGTAGTTCGGTCCGGTTTCGATTCCGGGCGAACAGGCTGGCTTTATGGGTGTTTTCGTGATTTTTTCAATGTGTAACGTAACGTATATACGAGCCAGATAGAGAGTCTGTTCTGACACAGTCTCACTCGCTGGAGATAAAAATGCTCTCCCCCCCGTACAATGTTGCTACTACTTGCTTTGAAATCGTTGCATTTGTTCATAATAAATTCGTTAAAATTTCACAAAATATGAAATAGGCGATAAAACAAATCCCAAATTCAAAAGTCGTACTTCTAGGTGCCTGTATTCCGGTGGATGACTATGTTATTCAAAATTGAATGGCTTTAGGTTCCGTTGTTTTTTCACAATGTGAGAAACATGCATGCATTCACGCAGCTTCTTCAAGATATAATTTCTTTAACTATAATACAGGGTGATAATATTTGGTGGCAACAGTTTGAAAAGTGATGCGCGGTTTATAGTAGTAATTGACTGCAAAATGCCGTTTCGAGACTAATATCCCATTTGCGCAAAGTCCCTTTTGCGCCAATAAAGTCTGCATTTAACGAGTGCTGAAAAAAATTGTTACAAATATTTTCAATACCATTGTACGCTTTTTGCTAGCAGGTTAAGCTCAAAATTTTTGCTCTTAAAATTTTCTTATGTAAAGATATTGCAGATACTATATGACAATATACATCCAAAATACCGACTGACTGGAAAAATTACCTCCATTGCAAGAATGTTTTAATAGTATAAGTAGGAATAGGAATCTCGCACGCGCCAAGCGGTTTTCTATGGAACGGTATTTGCGCCAAATTGATACTTCCAGCGAGAAGACTTATTGTTATCATCAGCTCAATTAAAGTGTGGTTATCTCCCCCCCCTCCGCCCAGACGGGATTAGTGATGTTGACTGCTGTACCCAGGGGCTGGGGGTGGAATATCGGAGAAAATGTGGTTATTTGAAAATGTACAGTTTATATACGACAATGTGGCGGCACTCAAAATATAAGGCAAGTCGAAATCCTGTCTGGACGTTGGTGGTAGGGGAAGAAAGCAGCTTCGAACCGCTTCATGGGGTGTTCTCCATCCGAATTCTGAAAACTGGGGTGAAACCTTATCAGTTAGCTAAGTGCAGATATATCTCAACCACCTGTGATACTTACAGAGAAGCTGGACTAGCTTCTACCTGCATCTGTAACTGTTGGTCAGTTTTTTCTGAATATAAAAAATATCTGTGGAATAATTTACTTCAATTAAAATAGAGCGAAAGAAGAAATCGCAAGATTCATTTCAAAATCTTTTGTTGGCAGTGCGCTAATTGAAGACAAAAACGCTAGCAACGTTGTCCCATACATTTTAGTAGAAAATTGTTTGGTGCGTTTTGTCCTTTAATGAACAAGTAGGAGAAATTTAGAATAATTATCTTATTTTTAGTTCATTTTCAAGTTTTTAATGCATGATGGCCTCAAATACCTTTTATCAGCTCCTCTAGGGAACCCCTATTCGTTACATTATACTGCAGCTTGTGAATAAATACATACCTATAATGATAGTAATAAATGAGAAAAATAAAATAATAGTAATAATTGAGGTAAAAGGTGCTGAGAAAAACTCTTTCAAAGCATTTTACCTAATAACAAAATACAACTTTTCAATGGAGAGGTGATTCCTTCGGTCAACCGCCATTGGTTGACCCCCAGCAGCATCTGGTGTTGCAAACACACATCAACCCCATCCTCTTTAATGTCATTGCGAAATGCAGAAACATCTGTTCATCCAGCAACGGTTAACTTATTTGTTTTCAAGGTCCTGAATAGCATTCTGACGCACTGACGAAAAACATATCATTCATAACTTTCTGTGATAAGCTGTTTATTTTTTCATTGGCTGGTTTTAAATCAACACATTTTGATTTCTTTTGCTAACTGAGCTTTTAGCAACTGAACACATTTTGATTTCTTTCACTCACTGAAAACACCGATTTCTTTCACGTAACTGAACACATTTTGATATCTTTTACGTAACCGAGCGTTGCATAACTGAACGTATTTTGACTACTTACGTTACTCATATTCCATAATTGACAACATTTTTAATCTTATTTATGTAACTCAACACACTTTGATATCTTTTACGCAAATGAACACATTTTGATTTCTTTTACGTAACTGAAAACATTTTGATATCTTTTACGCAAATGAACAAATTTAGATTTCTTTTACGTAACTGAAAATATTTTGATTGTTTTTCTTTTTACATAACTGAGCATTTCGTAACTGAAAACATTTTATCATCTTTCACATTATTAAAAACATTTTGATATCTTTTGCGTAACTGAAAACATTTTATCATCTTTCACGTAACTGAACACATTTCTTTTACTTAATTAAACACGTTTCTTTTATGCAAATGATCAGATTTTGATTTTTTTGACATAACTGAGAATTTCGTAACTGAAAACATTTTAATATCTTTTACGTAACTGAGAGCATTTTAATTTCTAACGCAACTGAACACATTTTAAAATTTTTTTTCGAAACTGAAAACATGATTTCTTTCATATAACTGAACACGTTTTGATACCTTTTACGTAAACGAGCATTGAATAACTGAACATATTTTGATTACTTTTACGTTACTGAACATTCCTTAACTGAACATATTTTTAATTTATTTTATGCAACTGAACACATTTTGATTTCGTTTACGTAACTAAACGCATTTTGATTTTTTTTACGTAACTGAGCATTTTGTTACCAAAAATATTTTAATTTCTTTCACGTAACTGAAAATACTTTGAAATCTTTTACGTAACCCAGCATTTCGTAACTTAGCATATTTTGATTACTTTTGCGTTACTAAGCATTTCATAACTGAAAATATTTTAGCGTTTGCTTTGGGCCGCAATCTGAGTGAAAATTAGCTACTTGTGTAAGCCCACGTTGGGATTATAGTTTATTTAATTCATGTTATGTGAAATTTCGTTACTTTGAATACTTACGTTACTCATATTCCATAATTGGCAACATTTTTAATCTTATTTATGTAACTCAACACATTTTGATATCTTTTACGTAAATGAACACATTTTGATTTCTTTTACGTAACTGAAAATATTTTGATTTTTTTTTCTTTTTACATAACTGAGCATTTCGTAACTGAAAACATTTTATCATCTTTCACATTACTAAAAACATTTATCATTTGTTACTTCTGAGATGATGGTTGTTTCTCTAAACAACTATGAAACTTCCAACTTGATACTTCGGACGAATAAACAGGAACCAGCTTTGATTTTTAGTTATAGGACTTTAAGAGAAACTTATCTTCAGAATACGTAGAGTCATAGAAATGAAGACAAAATCCTATTTAAACAGATCTTAGCTCACGTTGTTGTCCGTCATCTTTAAATTAAATGTATTGTAATCTCTTATAGCAGTGTTCTTGTTTTCGAAATAATTATTTTCAATATAAAGATTTTAAAGTGAGTCATTTTATAATAATTTCTTTATTGAAATTATGAACCTATGAGATATGTTTCTCATGCTTAGAAAAATTATTTTACAATGTAATGCTAAAAAATAGTCAATGAAAACTGATGCTAAATAAAGAAATAGTGAAAAGAAGCTGTGATCAAAGACATTATTTTAATTTTAAATAATTGTTCGTTTCAGTGATTTTATTATTTGATTGCTTTTTCTTTTCAAAAGTTTTAAAAGTTAACATTACCTTTTTTTTTTATATTTACGGCGTGTGTTACATTGGATCATATTGTGATGAACTCGTGAAGTTCCAGATAAGCCCCCCCCCCCAGTTGGTGCTACTTATCCTTATCCTAAATCCTAATGGGTGCTTTCAAAATTTAGGTTCATATTCATGACTTTTACATGCTTGTTTTTTACTTTCATAATTTAAATAGGTCCATTAAACATAAACAAAGTTTCAATGATTTTGGAGTTACGCATAGGGTTCGATTAAGATGATTTATAATAGGAATTTCCAGACCTTTTCTTGGATCAACAAAGTTTAAAAGAATGGCAAACCTTCTTTCCTTTTTCTGCATATTATACAGCATGCAATATAATTATAATAAAATAATTGTACATAAATGGTTTAAACACTAAGTATTAGGACAAGGGAAAAAAAAAAAAAAAAAATGTTTTGAAACTAGACTTATGCACAAT